TGAGGACCCACAGCCACACCTGTTCGTAGTGCCTGAGGCCAGATATGCTAAGAGCTGCAGGCTGCAACCAAGTTGCCCAAACTGCTCTGAAGCTCTTGCCTGTCGGATGAGACTCTGCCATTGCACAGGGCATGGCATTCATGTTCAGACATCTTGTGCTGACTGCAACTTCACCTTGCGTTTTCTCTCCTCCTTTGCACTAAGAAAGGACTTCGAGGACCTAGAGGTTTGTACGGGGGCGCTGCAGGTTATGGTAACAACCAATGGCTGGAAACATTAGCAAGGAAAATATGTTGCAGTGGAGTCCAAAGCTTGATTTATGTGCACCTTTCAGATAAAGGAGGTTGGGATAAGTTGTGGGTCAACTAAATAGTATGGTGTCGTTCGTAAAAGAGATCCCAGAAAATTTTCCATGCACAATTGCTTCAGACTCCCTTGGCACTGATGCTCTCCCCACTATCTTGCAGTTGCCAGAAAGCTCCTTTGGCTAGTGCTGGCTGCTGGCAGATGTATTTTCCATCTACATTGCAGTGTTATAAGTTCTCTACGTGACCTGCCCTATGTGGAAGAGGTCTCTGTTGCCTTTCAGACACCCTGGCATGCTGAATGCTTCAAGAATACTCTGGCCCCTCATTTTAAGGCACATCATACTCATGGACTGAGGCAGTTTACCATGGGCTTGCAGTTCACCCTCACACTGTCCTTAACACAAGCTCAGTCCAGGTAAAAGGAAAAGCAAGGGTTTTTTGGGAACATATGGGGAGACAGCACCATTACCAAGGCTGAGATGGACACAGGTAACAGGAAGGAAAGACTAGTCACAAGCTACTTGAGACAATGTTTTAATGGCAGTTCTTGTTGATACCCAGATGAAAAGCTGTAATTTCTTCCCTAACCCTCGTGGGCACATATCTGCCACCGGCACACAGCCAGCATTTGTATATGGTGTCACAAGAGGAAATGCTGGCATGGGGAAGAAGGTTTGCATTTACATCCCACCTTCTCAACAGGGTCTCCTTGTCTTCCACCATGATTTCATTCTTCTTTTTCCCACCTTCTCTCCTTACCAATGATTTGTTACTTCTCAGTGCAATTTGCAAATTTTGACTTCTGTTACACTAGGTCATTCTCCACTCTCCATCTTTGAAAATGCTTCTGTTGTTTTGATAAAGTCAACTTAGCTATCATTTTTATGCTTAAACAGAGAGCAGCCTTCCTTTAGGATGTTGCCTTGCTTGGCTAAGCCCTGGACATAACAACAGGATACTGTGAGGACAGACAGTTTCATCTGGCATGTGGTGCAGGGCTCAGATACAAAGGAGCAGGCTTTGAAGTTCTGAACCTTGTATTTTATACAAATGTGGCATATATGGGACCGATGTCTGCAGAGCCAAAAAATTATCATATGGGCATAGTAGCAATTAATCACTTTGGAATATGCTGACAGTGGAGGTGAGAGATACTGTGACACTACTAGTAAATGCTTTTGGTATTGGCAACTATTTCCATGGGAAACAGCGGGTAGAGAAAAAGAACATAGGAGAATTATTGAGAGATTCATTTTGTTCTTGCTTAAATTAGGTTTCAGTTGAATTAAACCAGACCTAAACATAGTCTTGCGTATCAGTTTAACGAGCTTTTTTGTATCCATGACTTCCATTAAAATGACATACACATCCATGGATTGAAGGCTGTAGTATGGTGTGGATATACTTGCTGGGCTTGCTGCCATCTCTAGGGATATTTGGCTGACTTTTTAACAACTACAGACCAAGTTATAACTTCACAAAATCCAGTTTGCATTTGGCCTATACTTAGTGCTGCCAGCAAATATGGATAAGAAATAGCATTCAGAGCAGAGTGGAGCTGTTTGCCTTCTGAAGAGAATGAGCTGAGAAGGGCCTTGCTCTGTATTGTTTCTCATTCCACTTAAAAGTATAAAAATTATTCTGCAAATGATCAGGAACTTCATGCTTCTGTGTTATTCTCTGTTACATCATAAGTGTGGTGTGTCCTGTGCTGTGGTTGGCATTCGTAGCAAAGCATTCTTAAAAGAGAGTTGTCAGGTTTGGTGTTGACTCCTGTCGATGGATCTCTTACCTCCTCATCATTTTGAAGTTACAGAGAAAAAGAAAAAACTTCTTTACTTTATTTCCTAACCACTGTGTTGTGACTTCAGGGTTTTTCTGTTGGCCTGAAAATAGGGATAATTCAAAGCAGAATCACTTCAGTCTCTCTTTGGGAGTGACCTGAAATGTGCAATTCTCAGTTTTGGAGACATTAAGCAACCCTTGCAATTGCTAATTAGCAACCTCTACTTATTCTACGAAAGCCTCAGTTATGGGTATAACTTGATCATAGCTCCTTAGTAGATGAATAAAGACTAATGCTTGGGGTAACTGGTGTGTACACTCTTCTCCTACATAGTTTTTAAAGGTTAATTATCGGGTAAAGGAAGACTGAAATGAAGACATTACATTTAATAATTTATTCTACATATTTTATTTCAAACAGATCATTGAATACTCATATATATATACATACGCATTTTTACTTATTCTCCAGACACTGTCAGCAACTAAGTCACTATCTGCAGTTTGTTCATGAAATATGTGGTGTAAAGAGTCAAGTATGGGGTTACTGTGGGTTAAATGCATCTCACTTTGTGCTGTATTTGTTTTCTGATTATGTGACCTCTGGATTTTGGGCTTGGATAACTAAAGGATGATGCGCAAACTCAGCCGTCTGCCTGTCCTCCCTGCTGGAGGTTGCACTCTTTAAGTGTAGGGCTAACAGAAATATGTGTGTCTGTAGTTGTGTACCTCAGTTCAATCTCAACTTTATCAGCAATTTCAACTACTTTCAAAAAACAGACTGCAATGAAACTACTTGTGTAGAGGCAGACATTTCCTTCTGCTGACCCTGCTGCATTGTTGACAACCTGTAACAGAGAGACAGAGAGAAAGGCAGGAGGAGGTACCAACTTAACTTACCACAACAAAATTAGCCCAAGATTGTCTGTCAGAGACTTGAAATGAAACAGTGAAATGTACCCTTTAAAATAAATTAGAAATTCACACAAAAAGCTTTAGAACTCTGGACCTAAAAGACAAGAGCAAGTTTTAACATTTCAGTATTGTCAAGAAGCAAATACAGAGAATTCATGATGCCATTTGAAACTTCAAATTTTCTCATTAACTTTAATGGAGATTTAATGCAATGTTTCTCTTCTATGCTTTGAATAAAGGAGTCAGGAGCCTAGAAATAAGCGATAACCAATAAGCATTCCTCCCCATGGCTGGTAATGGGAATGACTGATTTGATTTAGCAACACAGAAACACGCATTTTGTTAATGCTGCCTGGGTCAACAGCAGTCACTCCAAGCTGTGCTTGCCCAAGGTTTTTCTTCTTTTTATTGTGTCTGGCTTCAGAAAATTTTTTAAGTTAAAAAATCATAAATACTATTAATGTCTCAAGAGTACATTTTCACTTCCCATTCTGTTTCATCCTAGGTGTGTTAGAAAGAGTCAAATATAACCTCACTTACATTCTCACCTCATATACTGACACAGAACCTGTCTTTCTAATGCATTTCTTAACCATTAGCATCACCTATTCTCTTTTCATCAAGCAGCACTGCATTCAGTTCCTCCCCTGTTTGGCAGCAGACATAGTCTCAAAGTCCTGCTGCTTTTTTTTCCACAAGGTGACACAAGAAAAAGCTGTCCCTTATTTTTAATGCTCAATTTGCAATCTCTGCCTTGGTTAAATTTCATCTGCTCACTCTAACACACTCTTTTCCGTTCTCTTTGCATCTCACCTGTCATCTTCTAGCTTGTCAAAAATGCTCCCTCACCAATTGTCTTCCCAGTTCCTCTGGTTCTGCTTATTCCTCAGTCAATCTCTTCACCAGCACCTCTTTTCTGCTTTTACAAGACTGTTAGTTGCCCTAATGCAGAAAGGGGATCTCACACAAAGAGAATAATTCAAATGAAAATAAAAGGTTTCACATCAGAAAATTGAATTCCCTTACACACAGAACTCATTTATTTTCCCGGTTGCTCAAGGAAGCTTCCTGTTACTCAGATTGTTGCTGATAAATAACCTCTTTTCAAGCTCAAAATTGTGCCATCAGCTTCTTCATACCACTTACTTTTAGTTTGTTACCATTCTTGGTAGTATTACACAGTATTATTTTCCCAGGTCAGAACATGTGAGCATTCCTGCTGTGCAAAATAGTCAATTCCATCATTCATGGCATAAATATTGCATAATGCGTTGATACTGCCGACATGGATATATATCAATATTTTGTTAACACCAGTGGTACAACATATGGAATCCCTTTTAAAGTTTAAGTACATGATTGAAAATCCTGACAGATCCTCTTTTTCTGCTCTGTGGTACAGGCTATAGCTTGAAACTCTGTCCCTTCATTTTAGTGTTACTTCTGGCTTAAATCAGTCCCGCTGCACCATGAGCCATCTGAAAAAAATGTTGAATGGTGCAGAAGTCCAACATGCTTTCAGCCACTTCCCGCCACAAGCCTATGAGCAGATGATAAAGCATGTTTGCAGTGGGACCAGACTAGTGGTCTTCCTGCAGACCTGGAGAGAAGAGAAAGACACTATTTTTTTCCCCATAAAAAGAACTAGGCACACATGCCTGGAGATGGCAGATCTCTTGACTGATAGAGCAATGCTTTCTCGCAGCTTTTCCCAATGCCCTGAGTTGCTCTGTGGCAGACTTGCTTCCCTCTCCCTTTTAAAAGGGAATAATCCTCAGTCAAAAAACAAAGTCATCACAAAAAAGCATGAGGAAAGACCAAGGGATGCTATTAATAAAGTGAGGGCCCATGCCAAGAAAGACTTGAGTTTTCCAGCGGCCATTTTACCACCCTTGTTCCTTTATTAAACTAAGCTGTTTTCTAATGGGACTGTCTCATATTGCAGATGTGATTCTGGTCTCTGAACATCCTCCCATGTGTTTTGTTTTGCAGGAGGCAGCACAGGAACCTCCCCAACCACCTCCAGCACAGGGACCCCATCACCATCTGCTTCCTCTCACCTTCTCTCTCCATCCTGCTCTCCTCCGGCCTTTCATCTGGCCCCCAACACTTTCAATGTTGGCTGCAGGGAGAGTCAGCTTTGCAACCTCAACTTGTCTGATTATCCCCCATGTGCCAGAAGCAACATGGCTGCATTGCAGAGCTACCCAGGGCTGAGTGATGGTGGCTACAATCGGCTGCAGAGCAGCACTGCTTCTGCCTCGCAGCCCTCTGAAACCTTCATGCCTCAGAGGACTCCATCCTTGATCTCAGGAATGCCAGCTCCTTCCTCCCTGCCCAGCAACAGCAAGATGGAGGCATACAGTGGCCAGCTGGGATCTTTCCCCAGCTCTCAGTTTCAGTATGTCATGCAAGCAGGCAACCCTGCCTCCACCTCCTCCTCTTCACACATGTTTGGTGGTGGCCACATGCAGCAGAGCTCCTACAACGCCTTCTCCCTGCACAATCCCTACAACCTCTATGGATACAATTTCCCTGCTTCCCCCAGGCTGGCAGCAAGCCCAGAGAAACTCACCACCTCCCAAAGCACTTTACTCTGCTCTTCCCCATCCAGTGGGGCCTTTGGAGAGAGGCAATACCTTTCCACAGGAATGGAACACGGGATGCACATGATCAGCCCTCCCTCCAGCAACCAGCAGACAGCCAACACCTGTGACAACAGACAGTATGGTGCAGTTCAGGGCTCCTCCTCACAGATGTCAGTGCACATGGTCTAACAAGCCATGCCTCTCCTTGGCATCGGAGGCAGCCAGACCTTCGTGGTTTCCAGGGGTGAAACCATCCCAGTACCCTTTTGCCTTCAAACTTATAGTGGAACTAGTATTGTAATGATAAATAAGAACACAAGCCATCTAGGTGTGTGCCACAAGAACCTTGTGGAAAGCCTTGACTGACAGCCATCGCAGCTTGTTGTAGCCCTGGGCCTCCAGACCTGCCATGGAGCATGTGCTTTTTCTGGACATTGCAGAGAGAAGGGCATGACTTTAAAAGAAGCTAGAGAGAAGCAGCCAGATATACTGTCTATGCATTAACTTTCAGCTGGTGTGAGCTTTCAGCGTGGAGGGACCCATACCCCTGTGCTGTCTCCTCTGGGTGCTGAAGAAGGGCAGTCTCCCAGGGCTTCATCCTCTGAAGCTGCACTACCCATGGCTTTAAAGACCTCCCCCTTTCCAAATAGATCCTCACTGCTGGAGCGTCTCAGCCCATTTCTGAAGCAAACAGTGGCCTGTGGGACCTTCTTCCACTGTATCACAGGAATGGCACAGCTGGGCTAGGCTAGAGCTTCTTCCTGAAAGGTTTCTGCATTTTCACCGTGGCTCTGCCCAGCAGTTTCTTTATGAGGATTGAGCTCACTAGTACCCAGCCTGCAGATGGAGATGAAAGAAAGAGGAGAGAGAAAAGTTTTAACCCACAAAGGAGCCTCAGTCATTAGCAGGGACTGAACTTTGGAGAGGTGCACAGGGAAGAGGAGTGCTCAGCTCCTGTTGACTTGGCCAGAAGTAATGCAGCCAAACTGAATGGATGACAGCCTTTGTGGGGAACGTGTGTCCCACAGCACTCATCCCAACAGGAGGAAACTGTCCAGGTTGAACTCATGGGGAAGAGCAATGAAAAAAGAGAGTTTTGCTCTACAGAAGCACAGCTGTCCTTGCATGCAAGAGTTGCCATAGAAAACCATTAGCATTTCAGAAACAGTGAGGTTGAGTATTTGCCAACCTCCCAACTGCCACATGATCTCTGTTTAACCAAATAGATCATTGCCTTTCGACATCTTTCTTTTCTGTTTTTTTTTTTTTTTTCTTTTTTCTTTCCCCCCCCCCCCTTCAAATCCTTTAATAATAAGAAAACAATTGTAGCTTGGTGCAAGCTATGCATTTAAGTTGTGTGAAAATGCAAATACCAAGTAACAGAATACAAATATTATTGAGATTTGTTGTGAGGTGTTGTAGATAAATGTATTTATATGCCTAGTGGGGTATTCATTATTATGAGTATAAAAGAGGGCAATAAAAATGGTATGTAAAATATGTATGAAGAAAAAGGTGTATAAAGATTTGCCCTACGCACGGAACTCTGTTTCTAAGTGCCAAGCACAGAATGCGCTAAATAAATCTTTGCAATTGTTCCCTCTGTGTTTTTCTCTGTCTGTGAGGCTTCTCAGGGGTCTTCTAGAGACAGACATTTTTGACATACTGTCATGTGTGCTTGCACAGTCAAGACACGGTGCTAAATTGTGAAGTCCAGGCAATATTACAATAAAAATAAAAATTCTGTCTTCTCAAGGAATTTTAAAAATTGAGTGCTTGGAATTTGTAGGATGCCTTCTTCACAGGAAGTGTGTCTTAAAGACAGCTGGAGATGTTATTTTGATTATTGAAGGCTAATAAAAAGCTCTTCAGAGTAATTTTTCACAGTCAATATAGTCAATAATGCCTAAAAACAACAGCATAATATATTTCTCATTTTTAAGTGGAACTTTGTGGTGTGACAGTTTTTCATTTGCACTATAATTCTAATATGAGATTGAGACATTAACACTAAAAGCCACGGGGAAGCTGAAGTCCCCTCAAAACTGGCTGGAAGTTATGGCTGCAGAATTTACAGCTTTTCCTGTGTCAATAAACTTTTTTTCTTTTCCTGAATTGCAAAAGTGCCAGGAAGGTAGAAAGACCTTTAAAGATAAATTCTGCAAGCATTTCTTAATTTTTGTTTTTACAAGGGAAGATAAATATACCAATACCATTCCCAGTTCTGTGCCTACTCTGTCCATCTGTATTCTGGCTTTTACTGTGTCTAGCCGTGGATGCTGCTGAAAAGTGTAGGAAGGCTGTGGATGGCAGACACTCTGTCACTCATCTTGTTGTCTTTTGTTTACCCCTAATAATAAATTACTGGTTTAATCTTGAAACAGATAGTTTTAGACCCTTTCTAAAATCTTTTCATAATCTTTCAGATCTGTGCTTTGCTGTGCTTTTGGGTGTAATTCCATCTAATGGAAACAATTTCTGCAGGTTAATAGTATTTTGTGTGAACCAGTATTTCTTTCTGCTAGCTTTTTAAATTAGATTATTCTTTCTTATTTATTCCATTTAGTTCTTTGTGAGTGAGTCTGTATTTCAGCTAAGAAGAGACTCAACAAAATCAAAATCATTCTCTGTATCACAATACGTTTCTAATCTTGATTAAACAAAAAAAATAATTTAATCAAAAAATATCACTGAAAACATTTGCTGAAAAAAGCAAAAGACATATATAGGGCACAATCTTCAATATTAGTATGAAGACCTGGTATTCCAGTTTCCAGGCATTTTAGTAGGAATCCTTGGGTAAGAGCTTTGAAATTTTCACTCACACTCTTCAACAGTGTGATTCTTCAAGTTATTGAGCATCTGGTCCCTGATCAAGCAAGCTCTTCAGCAAGCTGAGATAATGTTACTGCATCAGTATGAATTGAAGTTGCTTTCAGTATGAAACTTATTGACCTCAGGGTGAGCATTTATTGGCTATATTTATAGACATATTTATTTAGCTCTTATGGGACACACATATAAAATGAGAGACCTTAGTTAGATAGATAGTTATTACTTAGTGTTTTGTTGCTGAAGGATCAGAATATTCATCATCAAGACTGAAAAAGAATAGGAAAAAAACCTGAGAGAGGTTTCTCTGTCCCAAGATGTAAAGTTGTAAGAACACAAATAGTACTCAGCATGAAAGTTACACTGACAGTCTGTGAGGATTAAAAACAAGCTAACACTGAAATGGGCAAAAAATATTACGCTTTGTCCATGGTCGTCACTGTGCAAAGCAAGAGTAGAGCTGGCTCTGGAGGCATTATCAAAAATAACAGGCCAAAGCTTGTTAAAGTTATTTACTTAGTGTCCATGTAGATGCACAGGTGAAATCCTCGCAGGGGAACAGCCCCCTGAGCAGACAACCTGCCTAAGGCCTTGACAGCAGCCCAGAAACATGAGGTGAGCATTGAATTTGAAGCGGACCCAGGCGTGACAGGTATCTCATGTACGGCAGCGGATCTTCTCCCCCTGCCACCCATGTATGGACACAAGGCCCTGAGCCATTTGCCACTTTTTATTGAGGCTTCCCAGAGAGAGGTGATGGCAATGGGCAATGGGAAAGGTGCCCTGGGATCAGTCTGGGAGTTCCACCTGGGACCAGCTGGCCTGGTGGGCGGCCCGTGTTGCAGTACACACAGCAGCCACCCCTGGAAAGCTCCCTTTCCTTGGGTGACTGCCCTAACCACAGGACTTGAGAGCCCTCCTGGCACAGTCATGCTCTCATCCAGGAACCCTTTGATTGCTCATTTGCAAAGCATGTGTGTGTGGGTGGCAAAGGCAGCAGTGGTCTGTTTACTCTCCCCTTCCTTCCTTCCCTGCTTCGCCACGAACATTTGAACCCTTTGACCAGCTTTGAGCGGCTTTGGGATGTAAGTTCTCACATGTTTCTTTAGAAGAGACAGTGGAGGATGACAGGGACCTTTTTAACTTTCCCAGTGCAGGAAAGGCCACCGTGTAACATCTCATTCAAAGAAGCCGCACAAGGAACAGGTGTTCTGCATGCAAGCCCCCAAACACAAGTTTCATCTGGCATATGGATGTTATATAGACACCACAGGATCTATTCAGAGCTTCAGAAACCAGGGGGTTTCAAATCCACCCCTGGGCTGACCCACTTGGTCTTAGCCCATGCAGGCTTCTGGCTTCCAGTCCAGGAGAAGAGAAGGCTCTACATCTCCCAGTTTGATGCTGCAAATTTAAAAGGTGAATCACGTACCTCTTTGGAGAAGTACTCTTTTCAAAAAGCCCAGTCTGAATCATAGGAAGAGTAGTGAAATCTCAACGATAGAAGATCCCTCATCTTGTAGCACAGGCTGTTCCAAGTGCAAACCTGGCAACTTGTTACACAAATGAAAAGAATGGTGCAAAAATAATCAGAGTGGGTTTGCCAGCTTTGCAAAGTTTATTTAGCTTCATTCCTTAGCACACTGACACGCACAGGACATAAATATCACTGTGACCACAGTCAGTGCAGCTCAGCAACACCCGGACATTGCATTCCAATGCACCACAGTGTTTTTGAAGGTAATGTAAGCACTGTGTGCTAAAGCAAAATGCTCAGGGCACAAACATAAATATGAATTAAGGTGCATAGCCATTATCTGAAATAGACTACAGAGAAAATTATAGTAGATGATCTGCTAGAGTGATGTTTTTATTGCATACTGGGAGAAGCTTTACTGAGGTAGGTGAGGGCTGACAGATAGCATTTGCCATTACAAAAATTTAAAAAGTGTTCAGATTATTTTTCCCCCGACTCAATCAGGTTCATTGACCCAGAGCACACGATCCATGTGAGATCAGCAATAGCAGATGAGTTTTGCTGGATGCTGCTTTTGGACATCATTCTGAATGAAATGACAAGATGAAAAAGCTCCCAAGGACTGGGCCGAGGAACACCTGAGCATGCCCATTTCATGCTACAGATGTACTAGAAATGCAGCTACAAAAGCAGTGCCAGAATTTCATGAAGAGGGTGCTGGTGTGGCCAAGGGATAATTTGCTACAAATAAGACAGTTCCTCTAGAGGAACTGACTAGAGGAACATGTTCCTCTAGAGGAACATCTGACTCCTTCAGCGCTTTTTCTTCTAGAAAGAAGCAGCCTGCAGGACCAGGCATTTTGGCCAGGTCTGTAGTCCAGCACTTTGAGTCCGCAGAAGTGACCATTTCTGAG